TTCTTTATCTGTAGGTAGTAGAGTCGGGTTTGCTAGAGCAAGTGTTTCTGCTAATGCAACATTGATGCTATGAAAGTATTTGTATGGAACCCCTTTCCTGTAAATCACGAGTCCTTTGTACTACTAATTCTGTATATCATGATGACTCTTCAAAATCTTCTGCACTGGATATATAGAATTACCTAAACAGTACAAGATTTAAACTCTTCAAAATCATTCTATACTCAACTCTAAAATTTCTATACTCAACAACTCTATACATAATAATATACTACGTGGTGTCCTACGTGAGAGACGAAAGCGACGAGACGCGACACTGCAAACACGACGAACGCGATCACCTCAACAGTATACCCAACATGCGGTCTATATGACAGAATTTTCAAATATATATATGGCAAAATTGTACTGTACTTCTTCGTGATTCAAAAGAGTTAATGACCAAAATCACGTAGCACATTTGTCGCGTGTAGCATCGCGTCTTGTTACTTCGCGTCGCGTCGTATTCGTCGCTCACGCAAGACATAAATAGATATCTAATGTCAAGATAATGTTATTACATCTGATAACTAATACTACTAATAGTAACTATATAACCCAAGCTCATTGGAATCGCAGATCAATCAAAGGTTTCTCACTGAATAACTTCTGACTAACTTTCAGATTGGTTTCAGGTTGTCAGGTTCAAGTTCAGTCAGTTGCTAGCCTGACTTAGCGCCTGTCAAACTTAGACACAAGTATCTCTGTTCAAGATTAATGTAGGTCTTGAATTCCGCAAGGGAATATAACTGTTCGTTTATTTAGTTCATTTATTTTAGTAATTTCAAGAATTATTTTGGAGTTGGTAACTGGGAGGTTTCTTTTATTCAATTATTTTTATTTATTAAAATTTCAGTTGATCAAGAAGTTCCACGATCTGGAATACTTAAATATCGTGCTATCTCTGTTATTTCACAAAGAATTAGTGGTGACAGAACTATACTTAAGCACGACTTAAAATTGAGTAACGTTTCAGTATTCCGACAATAGTTTCTGAAATATGAAACCTCGTGAACTTCATACATTCAAACAATAACCACTATTTGTTAATTTGTTGCAAATACAACGCATTAAAATATGAAATACATTTTGCCCGTGGAGCACGTAAGAAGCAGCATCATTCACATAATCATTTACAGTTTGCCATCTATCGGCACAGCGTAGAATCAATGAGCAAAGGAAATGAAGAGGGCCTTTCACCAAAACATGACTGACGCCATCTATGTTAAGTTAAACGAGAGAGAAAGTACGCTTTCATGTTAAATGGTTTCTGGAAATTCTCCTAGATGTCACTGGCGGCGAAAAGAAGCGTACTTTGAATGTATTTTATTTTTGTTTAAAAGCTTTTTCTTAATTAACAGCTGAAAATGAATTAGAATAAATGTACATTCAAATCTTTGCATATCTGTTCTGCATATATCTCTGTAACTCTGCATGTATACAAAGGCTAAGAAAAACTCTTGTTGTTACCTACAAAAACAAAAAGTTTTAATGTAAGAGTTTCTACAAAGAAAGCAATTATAGATGCAAATAAAACAACATATTCATTCGTTTGAATTCACACACATAATTCAAACTAGTTCATAAACAAATATGAAAATAAGATTAGGTACTTATAATGTAAGAAAAAAACACAAAATCTGAACTATAATTTCTAATCACTTACGAGACGTAACCGAGCATTCATTCAAGGCACGGAATATAGAATACAATGGAAGTAGCAAGTAGGCGTGGCACGCGTGCCACAGCTAAGCTGTGCACTGCTTACTCGAGGCAAATTTGAGTTCAATCTCGTTCGAACATGGCGTCGAGTTGCTAGTCTCGTGTCAAATACATATTTCCTCAACTATGCCGTTTTGTTCCGTTTTGGCGTGTAAAAATGATAGCAGCCGAAAAATCGTAAAAATGGAGGTGTTCCGTATCATCGGTAAGTACAATTTTTATTGTTTTCTTGTAGAAATCTTATTTTATTTCAATTTACAAAAACAGTTATTAAAATAATATTATTTACTAAAACGGTTAGTCAAAATCAACCTTACGCCTTCAAGATAAAGTTTATTTTGGATTTATTCCATTCAATAGAACATTCTCGCCAATTCTACGCTACTCAAATAGTTATGTAGTCAAATCACATATTGAATTTATCGATTGATATCGATGCAAGTGTAATGTAACATTTATTTAGATTATTTTTTTATTATTATTTTAGTGGTGACCCCGACGTGATTGGAAGCAACCTTCACTTCACGGAGCAGATCAGCACCGTCATCCTTATCGCCATCCCTCTCATTTATCACATTATCCATATAAAGTTTGTAAAAATTTATGTAATAGTTGTTACTTATATTGCCTATGTGAAATAAAAAAAATGATTTTTTGAAAAAAGAAACTAATAAAAAATACGAACAAAATGGTTTTTGATTTACATGTAAATAAATACTTACCCTTTTTTGTTACGTTTAAAAAGTTATCAACGACATATTAATTTTATTATTTTAATACTGTCACACTATAGCAGTCAATATTTTTTTTCATATTATTTTTAAAACACATTTTCATATTATCGATATTATTTTTATCGAATTATCCTACATCACTATCTGAGTAGAGACCCGCATTCGAGCCAGTGATAAGCCATTCAAATATCACCTTTATTCTTACAACGTTAAAGTTCAAACCAAGTACCACTTTTCGTCGCTAGATGGCATTGTTAAACGCCATCTAGCGACGAATGGCGGTACTTGGTAGTCCAAAAAATGCTTTTTTATTTTGATTTATAGTACATTGGTTTTAAAGTTGCATATCGTATGATATTTTTTTTGCATTTCGTTTACGCCCATTTTTTTTCTAACCAATCGTAATTTCCGATTTATAGTATGAGTAAATTATAAATGTATTAGTTTGGCTACACCGGTTCTGGCAGAAATATTGTTTCAAGCTACTTCCATTGTATTCTATATTCCGTGATTCAAGGCATTGTTATCGTCATTTCACTTGCCATTTTATTGAAAGCGTGCCATCAATATAGTCAACCAGATGGAAAATTTACTTTCCTCGTTTATACTGAAGACTGACGTAGGTATTGTATCGACATGTCCATTATCTCGTTGTTTTGAATGACTATGTTCAATCAGGAAGACTACTACTGTTTGTACAGACAGAACATAATGTTTTGCATAATGCATAAGTACATAATTCTTTTCCGGATTTAATTTAATGAGTCGTGTAGTTACTATACCTACATAATGTAGTACTTACTTTGAAACTGAAAAACCTTACCAGAATTAATTAAATGACGGGCGATACGATCCGTCAACTAGTTTGCATCATATTCCATTAAAAAAATATGTTCAAATCCTTTAAAACTCAGTTGAATTTCTTAAGTGCGACAATACCTTTTGTTACAATAAACACTTTTTATTTATTTTATTTACCTCTATACTGATTTTGTTCACACCCCGATCGCGGAGAACCTAACGGGTAACCGGGGCTCCGACTCGACGTGCAGGAGAAGGAACGGGGTGGTTTTTAGTCAGTAAGTGTCTGACACTCCCTCCCGCCTCACCCAGGCATTCGATGATTTTCCCCCCTTAAAAAAAACAAAAAAAAAATATAACTCTATTACAGACTCGGGACTACTTAATAATAAAAATAGTGAAAAGTTTATAATATCACATATACAACACATTGCACACCTTGATTCCACCTAGTCCTTTCCATCATCGTACCACAAGACAATCGGCAAAGCGTCACCGAATCATGGTAGATGGCCCACCCACATACATGAAGCGCTTCGCATCAAGCTCCTTTGTACATACTGCTAAGGAGTGGTATTCTTTGCCAGAGTCTGTATAAGTATAACCTTGGTGTTTTCAAGGCCCGAGTGACGACGTGCTCCATCGTAAACCGCATCATCGCTTACCACCAGGCGAGAAATATATAAAATAACACTCTATATAAAAAAATATATTATAAAACACTCCATACAAGGCCCAATACATCTATAATACACTCATTTACTTCCCCAACCCATACTATTGACAGAACTCCATAAGTCTCCTCGTAAATGATGTCAATAACATTTCCATGATGTATTGTTATGTCACAGTTACAGCAGCCGGCCCAAATGTGAGCATTACGGAACAACCAGTGAGGTAAAATGTTCCACTAAGTTTAACATTGTCACCTACTTTTGAGATAGCTTCGTGTGCACAGTGTTGTTGCTTGTTTCATTTATTGTGATTGGTCGCAGAATTTTTAAATGTGTGGCTTGAATGAAGACAATCGTTTTAAGAAAATATGACCAAGAAACCAGAAACTATGAATGTGACTAATTTACAACCATAAACTTAACCCATATATCGCCAAGTGGTCACCGTTGACCGCTCTTCACTAACTACATTATAGACCTTATTTCTAAGGTTTACAGACTACTTTTGTATGAACAAATTTCAAATTTAGGGGATGATTTTCAACAATTTTCAACGGGTTAAGTATATAGTACTTACTACAAATATGTAACGTTTATTTTGTTCTGCTTACAAATTATTTATCACAAATTAATATACTACTTCAAAATTCTATTCTAAAGTGCAAAACATTCTTCAAAGTTTAATTTATATATTTCTTTCAATGAGTTTGGCAGATACCTACAACTTTCATCCTCGAAGCGATACATAATACGCACATTGCATCGATTTTATAATATAACAAAACTACTTAATTATATCAACAAGACTTCCCAGTAGTTACATAAAACCACAAATGCCTGCCCATACATTCGATTTATTCGAAAAAACTACCATTTCGCCACTAAACCGAACAACAATAGGACCATTAGGAGATGTCATCGTGCGTGCAAACAAAAGAAGTCGGGAAGAGATAAAACAACGGAACACGGACAGACCACTTCAAACTATCAGAGACCATTGTGGGCACTACCTGGTCCCAGTTACATTTCAACCACCGGACAAAATGGTTGCAATTTATTTCTTACTGTCTTTAAGTATCGCGTATGTTTCCGCGGAGCATACAGGAGCGTACTCATCACCGCAGTACGCGAAGAAAATGTATCCTAAGAAGGGATATGATACGAACGAGTTGCTGCCTCGGGATAAACCTCCAGTGCTATTCAAGGAAGAGCCAGATCAGGGTTCCATCGCCAGGTTCGACAATAACAATGATACGTCCCTGTACGGGAGGTCATCGTTCTTGGACGCTGCGGGCAGTTTCCTCAGCGGAACAGGAGGGCAAGTGGTGACCAGTATAGCAAGGGACTTCATCGCTCGGTCCACTGGCAGCAGTCAGGTTGGTTTTGACTGCGCTTCCCAGGTTCGTACTTATAGCACTTCTCTATAAAGTGGCACGCATTCCTTCCATGACTAATTCTTGCTTTTTTCTATATGAATAGTTTTTTCGTGAGTCATACTTAAGGGTAAGATGATGTCAGTTGCTTGTAAGAAATGGTTTCTGTGAAAGTATTCTTTGAAGTTTTATCTTATCAGGATTGGACAGTTACTATTGATGGATTGGGTATAGTTCAGTAGTTATGACTAATTACTCAGCTGGAAGGGAAGTAAAAAATTACGCTTAACTCCTGTAGAACTTTCTTTAACATATTTCAGAATTTTGAATATTCTATAGTGAAAGCCATTTTTAATGACCACTGAAAATGATATAATGTAAAAAAATTAGGGTCTTCTTAATATCCTAAGTTATTTGTGAACTACATAATGTCTACTTATTGTATTGTCTCTCTTAGAACACGTCACTCTATCACGAAATTCGTTACAATTAAATTAATATTATGTGACATCAAATAGATATATAGAAACTTCATAGAAGCCAAACGAATAGAAGTTTAACCAAAATAGAAGTACTTAAGATAGATTTTCTGACTATAAAATTTCTTTTCCCTACAGGTACTAAGTCTGAATTTGACAAATCTGGTGATCCTGATAGTCTTGAAGGCGTTGATCTTGGCGGCTGGTTTCTTCGGTGCAGGCGCATGGAAAGGCGGACATTACTACGGAAGGAGTCTCGATGGTAAGTGGCTCATATAATATGTTATAGGTACCTACGTACATACATAACTGTCGTGTAGATTATTTAGATTACAGTAGTTGTATTTAAAATAACTTTGTATTCGTTGTACAGACTTTTATTATTACAAAGCGATGATACTAAAGAATATCTGCAAGGTTTCAAATTTTCAATGAAACTTAATGATATTCTTAATTTCTGAGTGTCTCTTAAAAACATTTATACATTTATCGATTTATCGACTTTTATATTTACGTAATGAATTTTATTTTTCATTAAATTTTTTGCCTAACGTACTTAAAGTTCAGTACAAAATTCTGGAACCACACAATATTAAAACACGCTTCAATTGTTGTAATAGAATTGTATGTACTTAAGATGTATTTATATTGTGAGGTTCGTAACACAATTATGAGATAGGTAGCTTGAGCGCGGCATGTACTTTTATTTAAATTCAGTAATTTATGGACTTCCAAATTAAGGTGATTGATTGAAATTGAAATTAACTTGAGATTTGATTATAATCAATCATCATTACAACCCCATCATTTAGTCAAAACCTTCAAATATGCCCGAAATCCTAACAATAACCTCTTACAAAAACTGCAACACTTTCAATCGAATGACCAGGAAATCATGAATCGCAAAGAGTTACATCTGCCGTCCACCTTTCAAGGGCACGATACATACAAACAAACTGACCACACTATAATCCAATACACTGGACCGATGGGTTTGCTGTGTCCGGCACATAATCCCATTGGCACAGGATTATCTTCGAACCTCCCGACAAATGACTATCAAATAACATCAACTAAAGGACAATGTTGCTTGGAACTTTTGTACTGAATACTGTTACTCGTTTTACCCGTTAAGTACGTTCCTTGATAAGTTGAGTAAAGCCAATTTATAGTGCGTATGTATGTATAAAAATATGTATTTGCTGATAGTTTGGTTGTAAACTTCGTGTTATGATTATGATTTAAACAAAAGTGAGTGTCTCGTCATATAAAATCAAAATCAATCTATATCGTAGCATGGTCTTAGGAACATGAAAAAACTGTAATAATACGTGAACTTTGTCGATTCCGATTCAATTAACAACTAAGATTAAAATTTTCCATCACTAAACTTACAATGAATGAATGAAGTCTTGCCTTCTTCAAACCAGACACATAACTTATTATTAAAGAATAGAATAGAATAGAATAGAATAATTTATTTGCATTGAATGTAGGTACATAATATAAGGTGTTACAAAGGTACATCGTTCCTGGTACATTCTACCATATGGCAAGCAAATTTTTGTTTTTTTTTTAATCTAAAAATCTATGAACATTGTGGACTATAATATCTACTATGTAAGTTATCTATAAAACTATTATAATTATTAATGGATAACATAATCCTAATAATATTTGAAAATTTACAAAATCCACAAAATATAGCTTAAACAACTTACAGCAAATCAGTCTATATGTTATCGAATAAAAAATCTGACACAGAATAGTAACACTTTTGTAATAACAAAGATGCAAGTTGTTTTTTAAAGATTCTCAATGGTTGCTCCTTAATGCTACTCGGAATCTTGTTATAAATGATAGGTGCCATACCTAGGACACTTTTTTTTAATAAAGATGTTTTGTAACCACCGGTACATAGCTTGTCTTTATATTGAGACCTTATAGTTGTATTCCGGTTAGTTGTATCCTTTAAAGTAGGGAATAATTTGATGTTACTTTTGACAAAAATAGAAAGTTCTAATATGTAAATGCAAGGAAAAGTTAATAGTTTACTATTTACAAAGTAAGTTTTGCAGCTGTCTGTAACATTTAGTTTAAACATAGCTCTTAAACAGCGTTTTTGGGCTTTAAAAATATTTTCCCGCTCACAACAATTGCCCCAGAATATAACACCAAATCTCAGATTTGACACTACCAAGCCATGATAAGCGACTAGTATTGCATCAATGTTTACTTTTTTTGAAAGATTGTGCAGTACATATGCCGATGAACCTAGTTTTTTGCAAACAGATTCTGCTTGAGGTTTCCATGTAAGATGGTTATCAATTAGGATGCCTAAAAATTTGGCTGTTTTTGCTTCGTCGATTATTTGACCATTATAATTTATATTTAGGTTTTCAGTTTTTATACGTTGATAAAAATGCATAGCCTTAGTTTTATCTATATTGATTAATAAGTTATTATTATTAAGCCAGTTGATTATTGTTTTTAAAGCATTATTAATATCTATTTCGTACTTCTGTTTGTTAATACAATTAATTATAGCTGTACTGTCATCGGCAAACAATACCATTGGATTAGAAACTTGACGAGGCAGGTCGTTTATATAAAGTAAGAAGAGTAACGGTCCAAGCACGCTTCCCTGGGGTACACCAAATTTTATGTATCTATAGGAAGATAAATATTTTATTTCCTTCTTAGATCTCATACAGACTCTGGAAATTTCGGTCACTTGCTTACGATTGCTTAAATAAGATTCTATTAGATCAAGAGCATTTCCGCGTATGCCATAAGCGTTTAGTTTTGACAAAAGCTTTTTATGATTAACGTAATCAAAGGCTTTTGACATGTCTGTATAAATTGCACATACAGGTGTTTTAGTATGAACGTTTTTCATAACATTATTTAACAAATCATATACAGCCATATTTATGTTTTTGTTCTTTCTAAAGCCTTTCTGTTCGTCGCAAAGAATGTTAAATTTGGTTAGAAATTTGTACAGGGATAAAGTGTGGCATCTTTTTACAACGGTTACGCTACATATAGCTAATCATCATATCAAAATTTCAAAATTAAAATTACAACACTCTTTCGCAGATAACAAGAACGTGACCTACATAAGTGAAGACGAGATCCTGCTCTACCTGAGTTACTTGGCTGGTCAGCAGAAGAAAGACTATGGTTGTTTGTACCTGCTGTCATGTCAACGACCTCAGCAGGCAAGCATGTATTCATCTGGAGCGGAACTGCTGCTGCAAGGCACCAGGATGTTGCAAGGGCAAGTATTTTTGGTTATAGAATAAAAAGATTTTGAATTTTTTTAAAGGGCTTGGCCAGTAAATTATTAATCTCCATATCACGAAATTACAATGAAATAAGAGAATGCATTAAGGTTAGGTTCAGTTAGGTTAAACAGCTTCGTATATTGTAATATCATCTGCATAATTTGCTAGTATCTAATAAAGAGATCATTAATTTTTACGTAGAAAGAGCTATTAGAGAGATATTAGTTTATAGACCATCCATATAAATCATTCATCAACATAATTATCAGTAAATGAATAAAATCCAGCTAAAAATGGAATACCACATAAAGCTATATTAGAAATATTGATACATAAAGAAGTTAAAGGAATATATATCCCAAACCATATATCAAAAATTATTTCACTAAGACACTAATTAATATCTTCAACTGCCAACAGAGATAGTGTAGACCTGGAGCCCTATGCAGAAATAGCGATGGGCATCAAGCAAGCAGCTGAATGGGGTGAAGGAGGCATGAACTGTGAGACTCGGTATAAGTGTGGAGAGTAATAAGGCTGGAGAATGTAAACTAAATTATTTAAACAATGATGTTAATCGTATATTTAGAGGTATAAAATGACCATGTAAACTTGAAACAGTTATTGCTATAGAAATAACTACCAATATTTTTCAAACATAATTTATAAGTGTAAAAATTATATAAGTTAACGTCTTAGGGCAAGACACCAATGAAAGTTGTAATTTTATTATTGCTAATAATTAAGTTATGTTTTTATAGTAAATTTTTCAATAATAGTCAAAATTAATTAACGGATTCAAGTAAGGTAAGATATAGTCAATATTAATAAAACGAACGAAAAACAAAAACAGGAAATCAAGTTTATTTCTAATCAATTAAACTATGTACAGAATTAACTGTCGTATTATTTTACTCATACGGATCATTTAGCAACAGCATAATCAAGTACACAAATTAGCCCAAATCAGTCTGCAATCATTACATTTCCAAATAGGTCTATTATTCTTAGTAAAATTTTCTTAAAACTATTCGTTGTTGCTTCCTTTACAAAAATGGGTTCATCCATGCTTTATATCACAATCCTGATTTGTTAGTTTAAGGTGCTGCAAGAACTCGAGGAGTTCTTTCTGATGGATTATTGGCTCTTGCTGCTCTATATTCTGCATAAGATACATATCCATCACCATCTTTATCATCTGATTCTAATGTTCGATCCACTAGAGCTGAAATTGTAACATCATTATAGCAAATCATTATTTTAAGTTATATTAGTTAGATATTCATTAATAATTTAGTCTATTGGATTAGAAGTGTCATGCTATTCTTTTTATACCACAAACGAATACGACACGAATACGATTTTTTTATCTTTCCAAGTACTTTTAATCTTACCTATGTAAGCATCAAGATCATTAGCTTCTGGTTCAATAGATGAATCTGCATCTGGATCTGGGGCTTCATGTTCAATAGTATGATAAACAGCCTGAAAAATCACAAAATGATCTTCAAAAATATTTTTTTTTTCAAATCAAATTCTATCATAAGTATCTCTTTTCGTCCCATAAAGGTTAATTTTAATGTGGATCTAAAATAATCATAAAGGTCTCCACAAGGTTATCCTTAAGTAATTTATTATTCCTCTCACCTTTAGCAATTCCAATCCATCCAACATGGAATTTTTATCAAAATCGTGAGCTGAAAAGTAATGGAACTCTAATTCTTCTGGTGTCATCTGTGATAGCGCTTCTGCTGTTAGTACTTGTGCATCTTCTTCAATGTGTCTGTAATAAAAACAATAATTTATAAATAAATACAATAATTTATAATACAAATGAACTAATACTCACTGAGATAATAGGCCAAAATGAGTACTTTACACATTTTATCTATAGTATCACAATTTCTGTCTTTAGTACGTTTATCTATGTTTAGAATTAATGTTTATAATTCTTGAACTGTGAACAACGAATCAACCAAATAGCCCACATTACTTAACGATAATAAATATCATGTCTGTGTTACATATTTTGCTAACAACCTTTACGTTCCACGCCGTCGACCAGAACGTCGTCACTATTGTCATAATGGCTTACTTAATCTGAAGCAACAGTTGCATCAGTAGAAAGAATCGGACAATTCATTTAAGGGACTTCATTAAAATTCAACAATGGTGACGAATGTGGCAACAGTCCAATTTTGCAAAATTGCATCACGGCTTTTTAACTGACAACTTTAAGGTTACAGCATATCTGTAGAGAGGACATTACTCCATTTATCTCAAGGTTTTGTATTAAGTTATGTAAGATTTTGTATAGTAACTTTATATTTTCTTTCGAGTCTTAGCTAACACAAACCCTTGAAGGTAAACCTAACCTAACTTAACCGCTGGTGATTAGTAGAAAATCACCGACAAATCGCTCCACCTACAAAAAGCTTCAGTAACTACTGAACTCGCTTAAGCAATCTATTTTCATAAATCAACCAACACAATAGCGATAAAACTTAAAGAACAACCATTTAAATTCTGTGTACTCTTCTCTGTCACTTACTTGGTATCATGCAATAGCTGCACGTCTCCAGTTAGTGACTCCGAGCCTCGTGGCTTGTAGTGATGGTGCTTGTGGTCAACCGGGGTCTGCCCATGAGGGTGATGCGGTCCGCGACGCATGCCCAACGCCATCGCGTTCAGCATTAGGATTAGACATGCTGAAAACGAAGATACTCATAATTATCTCAACATTATGCAATATATTGAAGGCCCATTGTAATAGGCTACGATGACTATTTAGTTATCTGAAACAGAGGACTCGGTTGTATTATTAAGTATCTAGATAAATCTCAAGAACTTCGCAAAGGCAAAATGGTCGTAAGTTACTTCCACATCGAACATCTTTTGTCGTTTTGAATCCGTGAAAGAGCATACCATTCGATTAGATTGAGAAAAAGCTTCAAAAGTATAACAAATCATTCGACCATCTAAACAACAGTCAATATCTGGATTAACACGTTTACCGCCACGTAGGTCACCGGTGACCTACGTTAGCGGAGGATTTGCCTTCAACAGTTTTCTGTCGGCAGTCAAAGGCTTAACGGAAGTATGATATATCGACCCTTCCTCAATAAGGAGATTATTTCTACAAAACTAACAACCGACACGCGCCACAAATTCGTCAATAACAGTGACAAATATTACAACAATCAGAGAGCGAACAACACTTAATACCTGTCTTTAATTTGCACTGCATTGTACTTGGGGGCATAAAGGGTGCGACAGCTGGGGTCCCATTGCTCCCCATGCGGTCTACAGGCATCCCGCGGGGACCCAATATTCACACCTCATTTCACAAGAGTCCTGCCCATTACATTTGTCATCGCCTAGTCAAAAGCACGTCAAATAGAATATTTTACTGCGATTACTTTTTAAAATTAGCCGTATTGTAATTTGCTTGTTTATTTAAATTTCTATTGTTTGTTTTTGTAATCGAATGGTTTGGTGTATTATAAAAACGGAAGGCAATTTCTCCTGATTTGCATTAAGTACGTTTTCAAGCAGATTGTTAAAGTGTAGGTAAGACTTAATGAATTTTTCTCCACACGTGTGAGTTTTTCCAATTAAAACATAATATCAAATAGCATGATACATAATATATAAACCGAATATAGAAATTAAACAAAATCTTATCTTTGAAAAAAATCATAATAAAATGCCCAATTTTTCAATGAAACCCAAATAGATTGCAATCTTACCCTCTTAAAAATATATACATTAAAACAAAAAGAGACAGGTGCCCACACCCTTTAGATAAAAAAATCTATTACAAAGAACTTTCAATGTATCGAATGCATAATTTATTTTAGGCCCTCGATTTTTGAACAGTTGTTATACAGAAAGACGAGACTGGTCTTTAATCGGACCCCACTTTATTATAGAGCAGTATAAAGCCGTAATAGGGGACAAATTATGCGCTCTCTGCGACAAGTGCGCTGTCCATATGTCAGGGTGTCCGACGCAAACGGTACTGCGAGCAAAGGGGACATACAGAACTGAAGGATGGTTAACTTTTGATGATCTCAATAGACAAAATAATACATTTTAATTAACTCTTTTTCTGACGTCGGTTTAGGTGACATGTACGCGATTGTAACTTTTATTATTTATTTATTTATTTTATTTATTTATTAACGCTTCATTCACAAAGTGTACACAAGGTGGACTTAATGCCGCAGGCATTTTCTCCCAGTCTGACCTTTGGGTGATGCAGAAAGAGAGATTTATCCGATACCAATCAATTTCTTCATTCAGCCTCTTTGACTTCAAGCTCCAGAATTTAACGATGCTTTCTATCACAAAAGACCAGACACCAAGCTCACATAAAAACCTCAAAAACCAATCAGAAAAACTACACACTCTTCTCCGAAATCTCTTCTCCGATGAAATCAAAATCCTTCTAAACATTCGCCATCCAACCGACCGATACATCACAAGTACAAATGAACTAAGGGTGTCCACGGTTCCATCCCTACATATTATCGTCTGATAACACCCCAATCCCCTGCGATTACAATAGATCCGTCACCACGGTCCCTTCACAGGTTCCTTTATTTTCTACTAAACCTTGGTTACATTTTGGTTTTGCTACTATAAAGCCAAATAATCTTCTAATGAAGTGGTACTGAAGATAGGGATCTTTAAAGTGATGGAGTAAGCTTATTAGGAGTTTTTGTGGTGGGTTTCAGTCCTGCAGATTTCGGATAAGGATTTAGTTACTGGATATGTTAATCGAATAATCTTCTTCAACTAATCAATTCACTGATAATGTTAAGAAAGTCTAATGTTACAGGAACTCCTTTTGAGAAGTGTTATATTATAGTTTACTTGTTTGTGTTTAAACAAATTTGTGACAGTGAACAGCGTAAAAAATGTTGATAGGGACTGACGGAAGCACGAACTTCAGTTACTCAAATCGTTTCGAACTTTAAAATACAGATATTAAAGCTATCTCTACGTTTTTAGGTTATCTTGGTATTAATCTTAATAACTTGTTTTATTTTTATCTCCGAGTCGAACTGAAAGTACTGGGCCTTATGAAAATGGTAGAATAATCTTACCCTCAAGTTTCATCTCTGCTGCATCACTCAGATTCTCACTAGTTTCCCTTTTTGAAAACAAATAACATCACAGTTTTTTACTGATACATTTTGGAGCATCTGTCAAGGGCTGACATTAGAAATCAATTTTACAGCGCAAGCGCAAACTGTACATGCTAACTTAGACTTTATTTCAAGAGGTATAAGCACCTTTATTGCTTCTACTGCAGTTACGTTTAGCGCATGACAAGTGTCAGCTCTTGAAGGGTTCCTTAATTAACTTTACCACGCAAGAGATGTCGCTGTGAGTCTTATCACAAGGATATGTTCAAGTAAAAAGGTGTCATCGCTTTTCATGGGAATGACTCTGTGTTTCTGGTTCGATTCTCGATTATTCTAAAGTACTGAGGCTGAGTTTTGATAACCTTGCACTTTACAAACCTCTTATGAATTATGATAATTTCTTTAGTTATGGTTTAGGGTCACCCATGAAAGTAATAAAGTTGTACTGTACCTATGTAGTAAAAATGTTACGTCTAACTTGTTTTTTCACAAAATGAGACTTTTTTTGAGAACAACAAATAATTTATACAAAAGACTGGAATAACTATGTTAATGTGTTTATTCAAATTGAAATCTTGGTACCTATATGTTGCTTAGTCGAAGATTTTTAACTTAGTTCAAAATATCGAAGCTATCTCTATTCGAAAGTTTGTAGGCAATTTTAACCACCAACGGTAATTACCCACCCTATAAACGAAATCTACTAAACCGAAAACTTCTAAAAACACATCTTCCCATATAGTCAAACCCACTAACTTTATCTAAGTAGCTACGTGTAAAATCCGCAACTCATCATGGTGTTTACAACCCTCTATCTCCATACTTCCCATACATACAACCATACACTTGTCAACAACTGAAAACTCAACACCATCCGTCGATAATAACCTTTGAAATTTCTATATACGATTCATTTTCTCTTAACTCAACTTTGAAATAGATCCTTATTCCTTTAAAGATAGGTACAGAATTTGCTGGCACAACAAGGCTTTTAGCTATCAGGAGAACGTTGTATCTACACGTTTCAGATTTGATTGATTATTAGACTTGTGTCTTGGGGATAGGGTTGGAAATTGAGTGTGTGGGTTATCAATAGAAGGCTTTTCAGTATGAAAATGTTTATGTTTATAGCGATCTGTTGTGGGAAGTTAAAAAGAGACGGGTGTATGTAAGCGTGTGAGGGATTGTATGATCAATACACGAACAGGCTGCGTGTCCTCGACTCTGAAGTCTCCCTAATGGTCGTTTTCTTACATTTGCATGCTAATTGACTTCTCTCGCAACGTTCCTTTTGTCTCGAGCGTGTGTGACGCAAATTGAAACAAATTAGCGTCTTGCTGACTTGTAGATGAACAGTTTAGTGCGACTTTACGTTTAAGATACTTTAGAAAAAGTGATCTAAATCTAATTAGGCTTTAGATAGGAATGAAATGTTAAAGATTTTGCTAGATAAATAATCTTAGAAGAAATAATAACAATAATGTTCCAATATTAATAAACCAATACAAAAATCTGTTTACTTATTTTTCAAGGACGACATTTTTCTCAAGGGATTTGATCGACACTGAATTCAAATGCGGACGACCGATAGTAGAATACGTAATTGTAAATTGTAAACACAGTTTATTCCATCTAAGTAAGTATACATTTACTATAAGCCTGTTACTAGTTATGTTTGAAATCTTAATAAATACAAGTATAGTAGTTACATATTATCCATGTACATCTGTAAGTAAATAAATATCCTATACCTAGTAACTATTTAGTTAATACAACAAGTCTTAATTGAAAATTCTGAGACGAAATTACATTTCTAAGTAAAACATATCCCAAATGAATCATAAATCTCTATGTTAGAAACAATAAATTTTCGGTTTTCTGTATCAAACGGAGATTTGCGGCGTAGGGCGGGTGTGGGCGGCGTTGCTAGGCAACCGTTCTCCCCACCACCTCCACATCCCCCTTCCCGGATCACTTTTAAACTTTCATGTCGGAAAGTTTTTAAGGTTTGCTTGTGGCTCTCGGATTCGCCATCTTTTTGTTTTAAGCCTCTTTCAGAGGAAAACAACACGAATAAAGTACTCTTAGCTTGAAAATGTTCTTAGGAAAAATACTCGTAATAGGTACCTAATTTATTTTAGATGTAAGGAAATTCTTTGACTCGAAAAATGTGTATAAGAATCTTCATAGGATGCGAACCAAGCGTCGTCTAATACAATTAGGGAGTCGAAAGAAAAATATTTTGTACTAGCATTGAGAGAGTTCATTTGATTTGTAAATATCATATTATTTATTTATTACAATCTTCGGGTGTGGGTACATGCTACGAGAAATGGTGCTTTCAAGAAGAAAATTCAGTAGCGACTAAACTCATATTTTAAAATAATGGCTAAAATAACACAAAACGTTCTAGAAAACCAGTAAAAATAGCTACGTTCATAAATAATATAGATAAAGTACTAAACGTTGTTTGCAAAAATGGTGAAGCATTTTCCACGCTGATTATTTTCGTGTAGAAAAATGTGTAGACGTTTACCTCGCCACTTACCTGCATATGACGATGACGGTAATAACACAGATCCCACCATTTTATAAAGCGACATACCATTTAGTATAGGTACCTACCTACCTATAAGTACTTTTTTTACGCTATGAATACTTGGTGATTCTGTAAATACATGGTTGTAAATCGTAAATCAGTAAATAAATCTTACAATGTCAAAGTATCTATGATTATTAAATTATGATTATAGCTTAAACGACATACTTTTTACGTAGATAGTTAGATCTTTACAAATTAATTCTCATTTTGTTTCCAGATTAATATTTACCTACAAGTGACATTAAGACAAATTAGAAACCCAAATATCAGCATTCTAAGAGAAATATATACCCTCAATTTAGATCACTCATGTGACTTTTTCTATCCAGAATGTAAAGTTTTTAAGTTACGAGAGAGCTACGTACAAAATTGATGAGGGAACGTAACCACGCGAGCCGACAAGCAAGCCTGGCTCGAAGGTGCTTTTAGCCCGTAATTGGTGAGCTTTTAAGACTGCCGCGTTTTCGTTTGACGTCGCCATGTACTGCCAACGACTAAAACAAATATGGAGCCGTTTTGCCGCGAAAAAATAACGTGAAACAAAAAAAAATTGTCCACCAGCCAGGTCGCCGTTTGAGTCTGCATAAAAACTCTTTGCTCAAAATTGAGGTTGTATTTTCCGTGGAAGGGATTTTGTGTTGGACGCTTTTCCTGGTTACTTTATATTTTTTGTTGACAGTAATTTTGTTTAGTTTTTTATTAAGCAGTCACTTAATGGTATCTAAAGGTTTTGGAAAAAAATCGACATCTACAGAATAATAACTTGATTTCATGACCTAAATATGTAGATACACTTCTTGAATATGTATTTCACGATTGAATATGTACACTAAAACTTAGATTGCGTAATCTTATGTAACCATAATATAAAACTTATTATTTCGTAAAAGTAATGATTTTGTGTGTGATTGTACAGTCTACTACAAAAATCGAACGTGGAAGTACCTAAACATTTCGGCGTACGAGGATTAACTAGATTAGGTATAGTAGGTTAATACTACCAAATATCTTGTAATACAAAGTTCTGTAGACCTATATTATGTCCCGATGTCTATTGCTTATTGTGTCAAAATAATAAAAATATAAAAAACATAACAAACACAATGGCATTGTCCGAGCCACGTGGCTGCAATAAAAAAGTTAAGAGTTCTAATTTCAAATTAACAGTGGGCGTAAACGAGCGCGCGCAACAAATTAGGCGGCAATTTTGACAGCGGGGTAACTTAGAATTTTGCTGTCAAAATATTTTTGCAAACAATTGACTTGTTTCGTATTCAATAAGATTTTTACGCCCATTTTGCAAATAACAAAACAAAACCACAATTAGCATAATAGTTACTTGTTACATTTTATTGTTACAGCACAATGCCGTTCTGACTACACGCTTGTGAATGTCCCGCCTTCTTCTTTCAACAAGAACGTTACTTAATCGTTAAAAATGAATGCGTTTGATGGAAATAATTCATTACCCTAAGTGACCTGCCTGGCAAATCTGACTTTAAATAAATAATTAATCAGTGAAAATGGTCCAAAAAGGATGAATTATAAAATTACCTCTCAAACGTTTCGTGGCGGCCCAAAAGGGTGTGCTTCCGAAGCTTTACACACGATGTTTCTGTCTCTTTTTGCACTCCAGGCTCCAGGGCAGGTGAAGGCACCCCTTTCAAGGGTCGCCTACACTCAGTTGTCGGTAAATTTGGTCCCTTCGTAATAAAAGGGTACCATAAATGTGTAGCCACATTTTGAGTATCGATAATAATTCTCTGTTTATAAATTTCTCATCAAAAAAGCCTACCTACCTCTAACTACGTCTTGAAACCCTTGGAAGACAATGACATTATTATCTAGTATATTTGTTAAATAAAATGATAAATAATAGGAACAAAATGTCGTCATAATAAATAAGAACAATTGCCCTTACATAAAACACAGGCATCAATAATTCGGAGAAGACAAATCGAAAAGTTAAAGGGTAAGGGGTACATTATAAAGTAAAATTGAAACGTTTCTTGAAACGACAGATAAATCGTGTGTCTACTTTAAATTGGTCTGTGGATCTCCCCTTTTTCTCCCTACTGCCGTCGGAAGAATGGTAAGTAGAGAGGAGGTAGGGGGGTCTAGGGAAGCTGGTTCTAAAAATTGATGTATTCGGGCATGGTTAAACGGCGGGGTCCGCACCGTCACAGCCATTAAAAACTTATTAAACATCATCTCGAGCAATTACTCCTCCCTCCCTAAGTTGAGCAGACCCACAACGCAACCCCCCACCTGTCGCCCTGCTAGTGTTAGCTACAAGTAAAATCGGGGACGTATTTTATATGAGCGAGCTTTTACTGTAAAAATGGTATGTGGATTTAATAACATCATGTATTGGTTGCTAGGTTCACCTGGGCTTTAATATTGGCCTTCATTTAGTTTTATAAGTAGCCACACTTATTTATGATTATAACCAATATCTTTGTTCATTGACACGTAACTTTCTAACTGTTTTATCGTATTGTAATTGGTAATTATTAAACCCATAATTGAAAAGAATCTATTCATAATCAATATCAACCTGAAAGTTTCAAAGATTACCATCGTATATACGTCCATTAATACCATCACAATGAATAACCACAGTGACCGAATCTCGACATACGGGAATTCTATCTACATATACTTCGTGTAAAGATGGGCATACACCGGCCTTCCTCCCGTCGGACGGTCGGACACGACAGCGGAAACCGTGGCTGCCGAACCACAGGAAGCACACACGTCGTTCTCAACTAACCGGAATTTATTTTACTATCTCACTATTCCAATATAAAATGTCCTGAAACTAAATATTTTTATTAGCGACAAATTAGCGGAAGGAATCGAGTTCGCTATGATTGGGTTATTGTTTTATTTTGTAGGAAAATATGAAGAAAACGTAAGACTTCCACAGAATGTTTCAATAACAACAATGTTCTCCCAATTCTGTTATTTCCGAAATTAAGACGTAGGCAATGTTTCTCTTCACTGGTCAAATGGCAAATTCCAGCTTACTGAAATCAGTAGCTTTGGTAGTGTACTGCCTGTTGCCAGTTATTCCATCAAACATGTAACAATTGTTAGATACCTATTTTATACGAGATCAATGACTTTTAAATAAGTTATTGATAATCCATAGGTAAATGAAAACTTTCGACGTATCATCAATTGCTTACCGTTTTACTAAACATTCATGAAGCTAAAACATATTTTTTTTATATCTTTATTTATTTAGAGACTTTTCCCTTACACAGGTATGTCAGCCTCATCGTACCCTAATCTAACTTATAACTAACTACATGTAATTATAATTATAAAGTTATTACTAACTTAACTTACTTACTATTGTGTAAGCGAGGGGGATAGTGCTGCAGCAACCATTTCATAAATAAATCCCGCTTCTTTTAAATCTAGTAAAGATAATATTCGACTGAAAGCCCCGACATCACATCTTTTAACTTTTAGCTCTCACATCACCATCTCTCCCTCTTTTCTGTTCTTTTCGCATTCCGCCAGCAAATGTTGGACATCATCATAAAATAGGATAAAACCAAAACCTTATATATTCAAATTCAAACCAAGTCACAAAAGAACAAAGGCAGCCGCGTGTCATCAGTAAGTGGAGGCGAAGCTGTGCAATTTGCTGTCAGTCCCCTGCTCTCAAAATGATGTGTTTCCATTCGCAACTAGTATGACATGGTATTAGCCAAAGAGCAGGGGCGGGCATAGGCGGACCCCACACATGGTCACAACAAATGTCGCAAATTCTATAATAAATTATTGACTTGTCATTTTAGTTTATGAATATCGACATCTTAGATGTGTTAGTCTTTCTTCTCAGGGAACGAAAAATCCGAACACGTCTATTTAATGTATTGTTATGTTGTGTAGAATAAGTCTGTACTTCTTTTATGGCATAAGCCGGTAAACGAGCAGACGGATCACCTGATGGTAAGCAATCGGCGTCGCCCATGGACACCTGCAACACCAGAGGCGTTACAAGCGCGTTACCGGCCTTTTGGGGATTAGGAGTTTGAGGATCGTTGGGGATTCACGTCAAAAATGTCATCAATTTCCTGAAAAAGTCATAAATCATACATCTACACATATCTACTACACTACATCTGACTTTTCTGGTATGTATAATCCCCAAGCATTGCTTGAGTAATATTATTGACATTTGAATTTTAAAGTTTTTAATATTAACCTTGAATCTTAAAGTGAGAGTGAGACGTATTGCCAAATAGGATCGCATAACTGACCGAAACTGAAAACTGACATAACTTTCGAAAACCCTTCAAGTATACTAGATAATTATGTTATGAAGAAAAAATAGTTCGTAAACTATATAATTACTTCGTTCGTAAACTATGTTTTCATTTTGCCATTAATATCTACTTCAGGATAATTTAAAGTTATTTCCATTTTTATTTTTACTTTTATGATTAATAACTTTTTAGCGGTAGCACGTGACAAATTAAATACAATTCACAATACATACACACATTTAGTTTCAGTAATAGGTTCCGTAATAATTATGTATTTTAAATACTACCAACACCTTGTTTAATGAACGTCTCTCGCCATCAAATGTTTCATGAGCGTCTTTTGCCACTAAACGTTGAAGTTTGACGAGTTTAGATTTAAGGTCACTCCTTTGTAAAATTCCTCTAAATAAATTTATTTAAAAAAAAAATCTCACGTAATTTTGCAATATAAATCATACGAAGTACTAAATCCTGAAAAACGAATTCCATCCAGATCTAAAAAAGTCTACTCTTATCGTAAGTGAATTATATACGTGGGTACTTAATTTTTACGTATCTAAATATTCGTAAAACAACGCAAAGATAATATTGACAAGCATTTTGACCGTTAAGAGTCGAAATAATTAGTAGTATTGTTCAAAAACAGAACTGCTTCCAAACTTATGAACGGCAGTATAAGTTTTAAAAAATTAATATTTAATTCTGAGACTAAAATCTATAATAACTTCCAATCAAAGGATTTTATAATAAAATGGTATTGTTGGATAATAAGCATTAAGATGGTGTGTCATTGGATAGGTGTATGAAATACAATTTAGAGTTGGTTTATCGCATAAGTAGGTACAAAATAAAGACTGACAAATAATGTAAGTCGAAGTCTTTGTTTTGTAATTTCACCTTCCGAACCCCAATAGTAACTTATATATATATTGCATATATTTAGCAATCTACCTCGGACTTTTACTATTATTTTAGTTCGTAGCACATTATTTTATTTTGAAAAAATGTTAGTGGGTATAATTATATTTCTTTTATTACTCACTACTTATTTAAAGTATGTTCAAATTTATTCTTTTTGGAGAAAAAAAGGTGTTACCGGACCTAAACCGTATCCATTTGTTGGAAATTATGCACCGTTTATATTTGGAAGAGTAAGTGAAGGAGATTTGTTACGGAAAATATATGAACAATATCCAAATGAAAGGTTTGTTGGAATCTACAAAGGGGTCCGACCTGTTCTTCTTCTCAGAGACCCCGAATTGATTAAACTTGTGATGGTCAAAGACTTCAAATACTTCCCCGACAGATGCATTGAGAAGACCTTACAGATTGCCAAGAGCGTCTTCACATTAAAAGGAGATGAAGAATGGCACGCAAAAAGAAAATTGATGACACCAATGTACACAACATCCAAACTAACCAAAATACTTCCTTGTATTCAAAAATCCGCTGATAATTACGCAAAATACGTGAAGTACCTGATCGATAATAACATTGATCATGAGATCCATCATCTACAATCCAAGTTCATGCTGCAAAACGTTGGAATCTTAACATTTGGCGTAGAAATCGACCCTTTCTTTGGTGATAACGAACTTGAGACCGCTTTGATAGAAACAACGATCCATCCGCATCTAATAAATTCGCCAATACATATCGCCAACTACGTGTGTCCACCATTATTGAAAATGTTAGCACCTCTCCTACAAAAAATATATCTGAGAAGACTGATGAATTTCGGACATTACATAACGTCATTAATTAACAAGCCACGAGACGGTAACGATCTGAGTCACATCTTCTTGAACCATATGGTGAATCTAAAGTCTCGTGATGAGAAAGTGCTTAACAGTAAACTGCAAGCAAATGTAAATAACACAGACATTATAGAACAGACCTTGACTATTGCTTTAGCCAGTTACGAGACACCGTCTATTCTGTCAGGACTGATCCTTTACGAACTGGCTCTTCATCAGGACATTCAAGAGAAATGTTACCAAGAAATTACGACTGTGTTTGAAAAACACGACGGACAACTGTCCTTACAAGCTCTAAGTGAGATGAAGTACTTGGATATGATCTTTGATGAAACTCTGAGACTTCATCCTATGGCTCATGTCCTTGATCGAAGACCTTCTGCTAAATATACTTTTCCAGACACGAATGTGACCGTAGATAAAGATGTGTTTATTTTTATACCCACCCATGGATTGCAGCTGGATGCAAAATATTACGAGAACCCCTTAAAGTTCGACCCGGATAGATTTTTGCCGGAAAATAAGGATAAATTACAATCGTATACTTATTTGCCATTTGGATTTGGACCAAGAGCGTGTTTGGGTTTGTATTATGTTTCATGATTATTTATTTACTCATCAAGAACATGGTCCACTTACAATGAGCTTCAATGACTAATTAATATTTTGTTTTAATTTTGGGTTATTTAATTTAAACTTACTGACGTAATCATACGAACATTTATTGATTAAACTAGACTATTTCTTAGTAACGATTTGTTCTAAAAACAATTACTAAGAACTGAGTTAAGTAAACAATAAATGACTCTAAGTATAGCGATAAGGAACTGTTTTACAAGATAACATTATATTTTATTTCCATTTCTATAATGGGTTCTATCAACTAATCTATATGTAAAGGTCTAATCTCTTTCTTAATTGTTACAGGTATAAGAGCATCAAAGGTGTTAGTATTATCAAACATATCTTTATTTCTTAGGAGGTTCAAGGTGTCACCGTCTGCTAAGACCAAACCAGTACTGAAGTTAGATCCAAAGAGGCTGCTCGCTAGTGTACCGTTAGGTGGAATTTGGATAAAAATAGAACAAAGGAATTGATATAAACCAAGCTAGACTGTAGATTTAGATTAAAAGCTATGCCGATAGTAACGTTATGATCCTTTTTGAATTTGGAAGAGTGAAAGTAAAGTACTGTTAGTTAATAAATATGTTTTAATGAAACACAGACCTACTTATTTAATAATATTGATTCCTATTATTGTGTAAATAGAGTAAGTACTTAGAGTAAGGTCTATATTTGGAACACTTTTTGTCAAAAAAATGTAAACCCCCTGTACACACTATAGACGCATTAAAGTGATTTGATTTGGTATTTTAATTTAATATTTGTTCCAAACATTTCTGCCACTTCCTGCCCTTACATGTGGTGGTAGTTGGGATGCGTAATTATATAACTGTATTTTTTTTTTGTGTGTTATTGTACTTTGTGACGGCGTGCAAATAAACGATTTTTCTTTCTTTCTTTCTTTCTAATTATTAAAATCATGAACATATTAGACATAACCAGTACCAGCGCATATTCATAGGTAGGTAAACGTGGTGGATTGTCACCATCAACATCAGGCCATAACAGACGGGGCTCAATATGGTTGATGCCGATACGCAACCGCGGAGGACTTAACAGGTTGCCGGGGCTTCGGCTCGAAGTGCAGGAGTAGGAACGGGCTGTTTTTTAAGAGTCTGACACGAGTCGCCTCACTCGGGCGAGAGAAATTATAATACTGGACGAGCCTATAGTCCACTTCATGGTACAATTTAAAATAACACACTATTCTAGGTACTGAGGATTTTGACGTCGATAGTACCAGTATCCTAATACCTCCAATATTTTGACATAACCAGGAATCAATTCCGGGCCACCCCAGTCGATAGTCGTGCTTCCAATCACTTGAGTAAGTGAGTCAATCTTCTTGATTAATGAATAAGGACCTTTAAACTGACAAACCGGTGACCGCAACCTATTGTTCTATAATTGTGTCTATAATGACGGTACTCGACGAGTTAAATAATATTATAGTGGTTTCCTTGCACGTGGCTCTGCACTGCACGAACACGAAATGTCGTGACATAAATATAAAAACATAACATAGGTAACATTACGCCTTTTATCTCCGACAGGATAGGCAGAGGTGCACATTACAGCACGTAATGTCACTGTACAATCTAACACCCACTTTTCACTATTTATGTTATGAGGCCCATATAATAAGGGGTAAGCCTATTGCCATATGCCGGGCACAATTTCAGACATCATGTTACTATTGAGATTAAAAAAAACCAGTAATACTTTGCCCTACCCAGGAATTGAACCCGAGATCCCTTGCTCAGCAGTCGCACTTGCGACCACTCGACCAACAAGGCAGTCAAATTTTAAAAGCAATTAACACAAATATACATAAGTAATAAATCTTCAAACCTTCAACAAAAGAGTGCATGCCTTTTTAATAGGCCGGCAGCGAACCTGTGACTCCTCTGGTATTGCGGGTGTCCATGGGCGCCGCTGCTCGCGTACCATCAGGTGATTTGACAGGTTTGCCTCCTGTTCCATAAAAAAGTACCTATGCATAATAAATAAGAAGTTATTGACGCAATAATGTACGTCAGCTGTGTCGTGATGACAAAGTAGAATATATTTCAACTACCTTTTTCTAACAATGGGCGTCGTAAGAGCCAACTTTAAGGGACTACATTAACAGTAAGGAAGCAACCATGGTCTCTGATAAACCAGAACTTTTTGATTGCAATCTCCAATCCACAAAATATGGGAGAACCATGTATCGGCACGAATGGGCCGGCTCGACCGGAGTGATACCACGGCCTCACAGAAAACCGACGTGAAATAACGCTTGCGTTGTTTTTCGTCGTGTAAGTGAGGTTACCGGAGGCCTATTTACCCGGACCCCAGTCTCCCTAATCCTCGAATCCTCCACAATCCTCAAGTTCCCAATTCCCAAAAGGCCGGTAACGCATTTGTAACGCTTTGGTGTTTCAGGTGTCCATGGGTAACGCCGATTGCTTACCATCAGGTGAATCGTCTGCTCGTTTATCGGCTTATGTCATAAAAAAACCATCTGTCAGCAGTCCCATGATAGTTCACTAGTCACTACTGAACTATAGATCCACTCTACATACGGTACCCTCTACATAAAAATTCAGAATCCATGCAATGACAGAAACTGTTTCATAAGTAGGTTTACCTTCTCTGCCTTGAAAATTGAACTCGGTGCAGAATCTTGAATCGAAACACCCAATAACTAACAACAACGGGTGCTTACAAACCACTCACATCACATCACATCACATCACCTCATATCACATCACATCAACAGCCATAAGTGGTCACTGTTGACCAAAGGCCTCTTCTCACACGGTTCTCCGTGTGAGAAGATTTGAGCATTAATCACCACGCTTGCTCAATGGGGATTGGCGATTTCAAATTTATAATTAGAAACTATAAACCCAGGTTTCCTCACAATATTTTCCTTCACCGTTTATCAGAAATAATCTTAATAAGTATAACTTGGAAAAAGTCACATTAGTACTTGCCGTTAGTAGGTTTCGAACCCGCACCCTCACGCATGCACGAGAAGCAGGTGCCTTAACCTCCGAGCGACCACGACATATAATTATGTCAACAAACCACTCACTAATACCAAATCCGATACAAATTACTAAAACTACATCAAAGATTACTTACATACAGCATTAGGAAAACATAAGGAAACTTGATTATCTTGACACTAGTACTTTGCTATTAAGTAGGTACATACGAGAGAGAACTTTCCAAAGACCTTACTTCAAGAAGCGAAGAATCAATTAAAACTACTAGTAAAGTTCTAAGGCTTCCTCACTCGACTGTGCCCCTGGTACCCGTGTACCCAAAAACTTCTCTCTAGTTTAATACGAATTGTATTTTGCTTTTCCTTCCGTCAGTTAATTAGGAACTAGGGAATTGTTTTATATATAGAGGCTTTTGTTTTGTTTGACATGCAAGGTTTGTAGAAACGTAATTAAAAGATGCATTTAAAGCATTATTTTTCTATGATTTTGCTATCCACTTGGCAATAATGATCTTTGTATAGTAACTTTCGTGAGACATACTAAATAAATTATTATGTTTTCGGCTTACTCACGTAGTAATTGCTGCTCATGAATATGAGCCTCTAGCATGGCTTGAAACTAGTCGAGTTCCTCATCGAATTACTACGTGAGTAAGCCGAAAACATAATAATTTATTTAATAATGATCTTATCTAGTTTGGTAGGTAGTACAAAAAATAGTATTATTTTTTCTCAACGTGGTTGAGCATCTATTAGAATGGTAAGCCCAAAAAAACTGAATTACTAACAATCTATATGTACATACATGTTTTATTTTACACACAACAGAACAAACTAGAAAATAAGTAACATAAAAAATATACGAATCTAAAATTACGGCTGGAGTGTTGTACCCACATATCGCAGCCCAATACCTAAACTATTTACATAGCTTGCTGTGTTCGTGTATTATTGTATCTATTTTAAAAGGCCGGGTGCACGGAATTTTAAATTCTTGATTTTCTACCAGTTCCACCCATCCACAAAATCCACGCTATTCTCAAATTCCTAGGAACCTACCTTACTTTGCCTATTCCTAGGAATTTAATTCTCAAACTCTTCTTAAACTCCAAAAAGCCAAACCAAACAACAGAAAAATAAACCTTTTCCATTTCACATAAAAAATTACAATCCGTAGAATAATTGATCGAATATGAATGATTTAGCAACCGCACCCTCAAAGTGATCGCAGATGAAATTGAATATCAATTAAATATCTTTCATCTAGTAATGAATATCGCAAACTTGATACAGCTAATGATATTCATAATATTGCAGGGATGTATTCAAAAGGGTTGCAGTATCTACACTTGTTTCCAAAGATCTTAGTGATAAGAGCTTTTTGTACCCTTATGTTAATTTTTTAGGAGTTTTTAGTTTGCTGGTTGTTAAATATTACTGCCGGGCAAGAGATATCGGGTTCGATTCCCGGATCGAACAAAGTATTACTGAGATTAAAAAAAATCTCAGTAGTAGCACGTATTCTGAAATTGTGTATTGGTATAGGGCAATAGGCTCATCTCCCATTACATGGTATTCATAACATAAATACTGAAAAGTCGGTGTTACATTGTAGTGGCATTAAGTGCCATAATGTGCATCTCTGCCTACCCATCCGGAGATAAAAGGCGTGAACGCTGTTTGTGGTCTGTACTACAAACAGCGTTTAACATAAAACTATTTTAGTGCTGAAAAAACTGCTTAGTTGTGTTTATCGAATGGTCTCTGTCAGTACTACCTACGAAAAAATTCTTTCAGACTTCTTTCTCTCGAGTCTCTGAAAAATACATACCAGTACCATATCATACCATCATTCAGTGGATAGTGGGTGTTGGACTGATATGGGCAATAGGTATACATCTATTCATACATTTATTATAAGTAGATAGATAAATGTCAAATATGAAATAAATGTGTCTATTTCAACAAATAAAATTAATAACTAAAATAAGAGTCGGGTGATGTATAGGGAAATAGTGTAGATTTAGTTCAAGACAGAGACTGATTGTGTTGTAGTTTAAATAAAACGCAATAAATATGTTCTTTATTATGCCTAAGATCTATCAAAACATGTACGAAAAAGGAATGAATCAGGAACAAAGCGTTACACTTCTTGCAGACAATAATTTGTAACATAAACGTTCTTCGGTCTACATAATTGTTTCACAATATATGCTGAAACAAAGATACGTCGCGAGTTCACAAGTTGCAAGCTCGCAGCTATACAGGCGTATCTATGTAAGGACATAATTGTGTTTAACATTTAACAAAGATTTGTCATCGCGTGCATGGCTCCAGCCGCCATGCGCCAGCACCACCTACAGTACTGTCATACAGACACAATCACCGACACAAAGCACTCGCTCCATTAAAAGCATCCACCCTTCTCTGTTTCACGTTTTACCTCAAGAACTTCCATACATGATTTTGCGTTTTGTGAAACAAAACATAGTGCAATGCATAAACTTTAAACGCAAGATCGACGAGGAGCCGTGGGGACAATAAAACAAAGAAAAGCGTATCTGGCCCGGAGCAGTGCGCGGCGAGGGACGGCCGCCCGGCGCCGCCAGCCAATCGCAGCGCGCGCTGCAGCCGCCCCATCGGCCCGCCCCGGCCGGCCCGCGCTCTCCGCCGCGGATGAATGAGACGCAGCATCCCTATAAAGATTTTACATCGATTATGGGGGTATGGGAGCAGGCCGTTTCTGTCTCGCCCGTGGGCGGCGACGTGAGTTCCTCTCGCGCAGTCGCGAACAATTAACGCGCGGGGCGGCATGGTCGGTGCGGCGCGACGTGCGACGTCACTATAATGTGGTTAGTCAGTGAGCGTCGGGGCCGAGCCGACGGCGACGGCGACGGCACGGAGCACGAGCACAGGAGCGCGGGAGAGCCGCGCTGGTCGCTCAGCCAGCGCGCCGGCCACAGCACGGTGGAGTTCAAGAGCACGGCGTGCGCGGGGGCCACCGAGCCGCCCGCGCCGCCACTTGCCGCGCTGCCGGACCCGCAGCAGTTCAACATATTCCCGGCCTTCTTCAGCCGCCAGCTCAACTTTAGCGGCGGCGGTGGATGCGGCCAAGGTTCCAAAATAATGGAAGAGTTGCGACCGAATCTTGTTGGTGGGCTGCTGGGCGTGCCAGGGTTACTGGACGAGCACCAGCAAGACGCCAAGTTCCTGCCAACGGGAGGTGAGAGCAAGTACACGCCAGACAAGGGCCGCAAGTGCAGCAACGCGTCCTCATCATCTGCGGAGGAGTTCGGCGGGCTGTACGGCGGGGAGCACGCTGCTACGCCGCCTGCACCACCACTTAGCCGGTCCTTGCAGGATAACACAGGTACGTTATTCTTACCTATTAAGAAATATCATTTTGCCTTGGGTAGCCTCCTTTTGGCACCTGTAATATACGCTATTTACCTAAATATCATAGTATAATATTATAGTTCAAAATAAATAAGAAAAAGATTCCTTAATATTTCTCTTATTTATTGTCTTTGTTTCGTTATATTATGTATTTTATATTAATTACTGTTGAGTGGTGACAATAGGTCTACAACAGTATCACAATACCTAATCGCGTTAAAAGTGAAGTTTACAGACATGTTTAGGTAATTTGTAACTTGATATCAAGTTTGTTTACTATTACTTGACTATGCATTAATGCACTCGAATAGTCTACCACCTAGTCAACCTACTATTAAACAAGAAATAAAGACTGGGTCTTCATATAATGCAACCATTGTTTACAGGTGTTTACAGGCTACAGCCTGTAGCCTTACACAAAAGAGCATTTCCATATAATGTAGGAACTCTTGCAAAGATGATAGTTTAAACCAAGAAACAGGATATATTTCAGTTTTTTTTATTTCTAGCAACAATAAGTATTTAAGGTTTTAACACATAGGCAACACAACGTACCAATAGCGTGAATTTATAGATATATAGAAAGCGCAAATACATAATAGTATGTGTAAGATACTTATTGGATTTCCACAAGTGTCAAAACAAAAATTATGCCATTCACCACCATCATCTCTTTTCTATCTTCTACTGAACATAAGCCTCACTACTAGTAGGTAACTGAGCTAGATCTTTCAACTGACGGAAGAGACGGACCACTGAGTTTGTTTCGACATTTCTTCTCAGAGTAGACAGTTAGGAAATGTCGACCTCATCGTTCGCTTGATAAGATTGACGTGTAAAAGTGCTACCATATAGCCTATTTGCAGGAATAAATTCACTTGTTTCACTTGAACTTTTCGTAGTTAACTACTGTCAGTCCCATTGCAAATTGTCACTTTACTTAACTGCAACTGGGTCCTTTCCTTAATCAAAAATAAATTATTTCGACTGTTCAATACAATAAAATATTAAAACATAACTAATCACACTTTCATTAATTGATTTTATGACCAACTTAATTGTAGTATGTTTCCAGATTTTTTTTATGAAATAAGTATTCTGTTTGACGTTAAAAAAACGTGACGTCACATCACAATACACCACTCGTACATACAAAATTCATAGAAAACTGCCGTTTTTGACAGTTCGTAAAAAAGTATTGAATTTGACTAGTTGGCAAGTACCCAATTACATCGTGGCGTAAACCAGGATAGATAACGTGTTGTATTTATTGCATTATGCCTACTTAACAACCTGTGCGCTCTTGATTGTTTATTTAATAAATGGTGCATCCATCTAACCATGTCAAACACGATACTTAGATAGGTACCTACATTAAGGCTTGAATAAAAAGGAAACACATTTTTAAGTTTATTTAAATACTAGCTGTTCCCCGCCGACTTCGTCCGCGTAATATATATATTCTGGTTTATCCCGTGGAATTATTTAATCGGGATAAAACGTATCCTGTCACCTAAGTCTGTCCATACCCTGCCTGATAGAAAATTTCATCAAAATCCGTTCAGTAGTTTCAGCCTCATTGTCGGACAAACATTCAACCAAAGAAACTAACACGTTTATAATATTAGTGTGATTGTGCCATCTCTGTCATTTTACAAAGAATATGTAGTGACAGAACTATAGTTGAAATATCTGAAATATCATCCCCTAAATTCGTTCATACAAAAGTAGTCTCTAAACATCGGAAATAAGGTCTATAATGTAGTTAGTGGAGAGCGGTCACCAGCGACCGCTTGGGGATAAATGGGTTGCGCGATTTAAAATTGAGTGCCCATTATTTGGACACAAGTCACTTACAAGATTCATAAGAAGACTGACTTATGCACTTTGTACTGAAAGGTAACACAAATAAATAAGTAAAATAATAACAAACAAAAACCTAATGAGAGTAAGGAAACAAATCAAAGAAATAAAACTTTAGTTAAGTACGTTTTAAAAGTTAATTTGATAAATGAGAAAATCATTTTGAATCAACCAATGACCATGTGAACTTAAACCTAAAAGTGTTTCATTATTCAGCTCATATTCTTACAACGAAGAGATCAAATCAGTCAAGAAATCAATTGAACTACCGGCCATTAAATTACAATAAAAATAATACTAAATCCACATAAATATTGCTCAAAAGAACACAATTGAAAACAGAAATTGTATCGATTATTATCATTTTAACATCATATTTATCAGATTTGAGAAACCTTACCATACCTTACCTTACCCACTGCAATCACATTGCAAAACCTTATGCAATTATTTGTAAATATTATGGCCCAGTATTAAATTAAACTCTCAAAAATACGTCATAAATATAATACTTATCTTTCGATCCATGATTAAACACCTCACGAAGTTAGGGTCTATTTTTTTTACCACAAAACCTATGAAGTTCTACATTATACATATATATAATATCAAGCCTTTTATCCCCGAAGGGCTTGGCAAAGGTATAAATTACGGCACTTAACTCGTCGAGTACCGGTTTTGTAGACACAATTATAGAACAATAGGTTGCGGTCACCGGTGACCGCTTGGTGTTTGACAGTTTAATGCCATTGTACAATGTGGCACCCACTTTTCACTATACAAGCTTAAGCTCAACCTTTTAAATATAATGCCTAGTTAGTTATACATCGACATAAAAGATATACGAGAATCAATTTTTATAAAGAGTGTGGCTGTGGTAGTGGATGCGCTACAGGTTGACTTGTGTCGACTGAAACCTTACTATCGAGAGTGTAGGCTGAATCTCAATCCCTGAAAACGGTCGGTGGTAACATATTCCCGAAAGCGCACTAATATAGTTTCGTCGTATACCTTGGGTGATCAAACACTTCCTAAATCAAGTAACATCCAAAACCTTGAACCAAAACCAGCATCATGCACGAAACTTAATGCTATGATAAACACTTAAAATATGGTTCTTTATTAGAAGTACACAACAATAGGATTTAAGTACTATCTTTAACACTGGCCACAAATGGAAACATTGATGGTAAATATTAGCAATAGCAGGTTGAGTAGAAATTATAATATTTCTCTATGTACCTCTTCTCCCGACTGTTGCAAGAGCCACTAAGAGAAGCGTTTAATACAAAAGCACTCTTCGATAACCTCATTTTTTAAAATTATAATCTCCAACGCACCACATGCAGTGTGCAAATATGGCGAAAACCTCACTAAAGGACTGCGCAACCTTTAAGTCAACTTTTGGTTCAATACAACATTATATGAAATAGTCGACCACGCCAACATCGGACGGAAAACAAACTGTAAATGGCACTTTAATGTGAAATCAGCCTAAAAGGTTCACTTTAAACTGTCAAACACCAAGCGGTCACCGGTGACCGCAACCTATTGTTCTATAATTGTGTCTACAAAACCGGTACTCGACGAGTTAAATCAGGCACGAAGCATTTCCATCAAGCTTCCTTGTGGAGTGGTAAGAATTCTTGGCCAGAGTCTATATTTCCTGAAGGGTACCTGGGTGGTTTCATGGCCCGACTGAATAGGTTGCTTATGGGACGACGTGCTCCATCGTAGATCGCATCATCGCTTACCACCAGGCGAAATAGTTGGCAAACGTAAAAAAAATATCAGAGATCTCTGCCCAGATCATGTCAAACATGGTGTTTCTTAGTCAACGTAGAGTGCAATACTCGTACATTAGTATCTACGAGTATTGTACTCTGCCATAGCTACACCCTTCTTTATAATAATATGTTCTGTGGCCACACCGGTTACTACTGAAAACTCTGAAGTATTGTATTGAGGCGAGTACTTGAATATTTCGTTTAAAAAAATCAGTAGAATTTGTATGATCCTCTACGTAGGCGAGATGCTGTATATTGCAACGTTTACGCAAAATTATGCTCATAGAGCCTACCCTATCTGATACATAAAATTGTATTAGGTGCATAGCGGAAGACAGAAGGAGCATGGGTTTAACTTAAAAATAATATATGGGTACATGTAAGCAAAAGCATAATTTAAGCGTACTTTTATATTTTATGTAGGTGCATAAATTGTAAAATGAATAAATAAAAACAGATCTAACATCAACCTAAGTTCACTACTTGTGCCACGTTAATAAGGTCTCATCTGAAGTAGTTTTTGTTTGCTATTTTTCCAAAAGCTTTTTGCAAAATAAAACAGGGCTGTTGTCGTTTTTGTACATATATTCATATTATTAAAACAACAATATTCGCTAAAGGTAGAAGCGAGCACGTAGGCAGCCTCTACGCGGGATATGTGCGTATAATTACAATTCCAATTAGAGTAATATTGCAAACAATCGGCCCGCGGGTGACGTCATGAATACGAAATGTCACTAACGACCGTCCCCTGCCCCGCCCGCCCCCACCCCGCGAGCGAAGCCTGAATTTTCAAGCGGCTCGAGTTGCCGAGTTGAATATACGCTCTGCACGTTTAATGTACGCTGAATAATAATAATTGTAACATTGACGAAAATGTGTGGCGGTAACGTTCTATAGGAAATGATTGCTTAAACTTTGTTTCATGTTGGGTAAATTAAGCTATTTTAATAAAACGACTTCATTCACCTCAATTTTAAACTGCTCCAGTGATCCACATTTGAATTCATTTAGATAATTCTACATTTATGGGAATTTACTTTTTGTGACTGAAGACACGTATTTAACACAACCACGTTCAAAGAATAGCATAAGGTTTTCTTTGTCATGCCCTACCTAAAACATATTGATATGTTTATTTGAATAAACAAACATTAATAAATACATAGATTGATATAAGACTGCGACTAACCGGACGTATGTGTCTAATTTGGGGTTTCTTTCGCAGTAAACTAACTAGTATAGAAACATTAGAAATGCAAAACTTACATCCGGATAGATAAACAAGGAAATGATCATCAATAAAATTAAAATAATGAATCAA